TATATATATATATATATATATATATATATATATAGTGCACATCACTAATATGCATACTTTATGTCCAATATGGCACAAATCTGCTTGTGTATAATCATGTACACATCAGTGTGCATGTCAGTGTAATCTATGCATACATTACACAGCTGGCTCTAATCCATTTGTGTATAAATCATACACATGTCAATTTACATGTCAGTGTAACTACATATGATGCACATCATGGCACTTAATGCTGTTATTCTAGTAATTTTACTCATTTTCTTTAAACTTCTATGTCTGGTTTCTTTCACTTAACAGTATGGTCTCGAGGGATTGAGATCAAGAAGGAGGTAGAGGAAGGGAAAGGATGTAAAAAGATTTAAGCTGTGTTATATACATGTGCCAACTACTCAAAGAATGTAATCATGTATCACAAACATGTACTAAAATTTTTTTAAAACTTGATTAAAAATGTTAGTGCATAATTTAAAATTTTGAAAAATACAGGAAAGCATAAACAGAAATACCCATTTTTAGTTTTCATTCTTGCCTAAAATGATACACATAACATAGAACATGTGGTGACATTTATCAAAATAAAATATGGTTCTACTACAATCTTTTTATATAGCTATTTGAAAGTTTTATTAACTGAAGAGTTTCAGTATCCTATAGTAAAATCTCATATCTAGATAACATGTTTGTTCAGGGAAAAAGTGGTTAAGAGGAAGGGTTCTTCAATGCTGTATCATCTCAGATTTCTCATGTTATTCTGAATATAGTTACTGTTTAATTTTTTTAAAAATTATGGTCTCAGGGTGCATCCATTAACCTAGAATGACTCAAATGTATCTTTCTTTATGGCAGAGTAATATGCCATTTTATAGTATATACCACCACATTTTCTTTATCCATTTATCTGTTGATGGGCATATGAGCTGTTTCCAAGATGTAGCTATTATAAATTGTGCTGCTATAAACATGAGTATGAATATATCACTGTGGTATAAATGCTTTTAACTCTTGGGAAGATACCTAAAAGGGGTGCAGGTGGGTCACATGGAGCTTCTAGTTTTAGTTCTTTGAGGTAATTTTACTCATCTTAAGGTGGATTCATCTCTTAAAATTTTGATTTTATTTTTTACATTTTTGGTTGATACATAATCAAGGTGTATCTTTTGAAGTCTGTAATGGCCAATTGGTAATATAACACTAATAGCATTAGTATACTATGTTTCTCAGTTTGTACATATTTCATTTCATGGCTTATTTTATCAATATAAGGTATATACTATTATCATTTCTGCTTCACAAAAGAGGAATCTGAGGCACACAAATTAAATAGCCCAAGACCACAGCAGGAATGATGTGGTAGGCAGGGCTGGTTTTGGGCAGTCTCTATCCTTAGTTCATGTGCTCAGGCCTGCACCTGCTGCCTCGCAGCAGTGCCTGTTGAATCAGTGTTTTGTACATGAATAAATGAGGGATTAAATCCATCAGTTGATGCAACAGATGTTTTCTTTTCTTGAAAATGAAAAATTGGGGGTTCCTGAAGAATATAGATACCTGAAATCCATATTGAATTAATTGCTTCCATGAATAATGTATTTGTATCATCAAATATAATGAGATTTTGTCTCTCAAAGCTAAAGTCAGAATTATCACATCCACATCACGCAATCAGAGGTTTATGCATATTTTCCTCCGATTATTTTATTAGTGGTTTTTATACCTATTCTGTTGAGTTTGCTTTTATTTGTTTATTTGTTTATTTATTTATTTATTTATTGGTACTGGGCATTGAACTCGGGTCCTTGCGCTTGCAAGGCAGGTGGTGAAACCACTGAGCTAAATCCCCAGCTCCTGCGTTTGCTTTTATTAATGTACAATCTACTTAAATACAGCAGCATTCACATAGGTGCAGAATTGATGTACTGTCTTAAACACCTTTTGATAAGCTTTCAGCATAAATGCTGTCATTTAACTTTCAACATATAAATTGATAGTTACCTCAGATAATCAGAATGCATTTTAGTAAATCTGGTTACAAAGTAAACCTTTTTTTTTTTTTTTTTTTTGGTACCGGGGATTGAACTCGGGTCCTTGGGCTTGCAAGGCAGGCCACCGAACCGTTGAGCTAAATCCCTGGCCCTAAACCTTTTATTTCTTATATCAAAAAGTTAAGTTTCTTTTTAAGGGCAAGTAAAATTAGGCATGAAATGACAGATGAATTTTATGACCAAAGATGAGAACACCCGCTAGTGTCCAGTCAGACAAATGCAGTTGGGAAATAGGTGTTAAATACTGATTGATTTTGAGCAGGTTTTCTTAAATTTTTTAAAATCTGTATTGACTTCTTCATATATATACACCAGGGATTGAACTTGGGACCTTCCACTTACAAGGCAGGTGGCAGCACCACTGAGCTACATCCTGGCCCCTAAATTGACGTAATAAATTGTGATGTATTTGAATCTTCCTACACTTACATGTAGTAAAGACTCAAATTCAGTCAGCATCTTCACAGATGAACAATTGTAACCAAGAGAATATTTAAAACTCTTTCATAATTGAGCTACACTTACAGAATTACAATTCATATACCTGCTCTTTATTAGCTTCTACAAAAAAAAGCCAGAGTTTCTGTTCAACAGGTGTCTTCTGCCCAAGCATTTTTATCGTTAAAAGTCTTCAGCATCCGTTGAATGCATGCTTCAGATCTAGACTCTGACATCTCATTGCTGTCATGCGTGTCTGATGTGTCTTTTTGGTACTTCCTGATCCCCATGATGTGCTTCTTTCCTTGGTGGCATTTTCTGTCTACAGTTGTCACAAGAAGCTCCCTTGTACAGGTGGGGAAACCCCAAATCAAATGTAGTACTTTGGGCTCTGATCAGTTACATCAAAATGCCAGAGAGCTGCACCTGGAGCCTGAGAAAATCTCTAGGCTTCATAGTTTTCTTCATCTGTAAGTAGAAATGCCTACAAATAGAGATACTAAAGCAACAAATGATCGCAAAGATCTGCACAGAGACCAGATTCTGATGGTGGTCTAAGTTGGGCCTGACCTAATGCCCATCGCTGAAGGACTTATCAAAGTAAGGGTAGTAGATCCATGATGATCTCCTTCTTGGACTAAAATACTCAGCATCACAGTTAAACAAAAGCAACCTTTAGGCCAGGGATGTAGCTTGGTGGTACCGAACCTGCTTGGCAGACACAAGGTCCTGAGTTCAATCTCCGGTACTGGGGGGATAAAAAACAAAACGGGACCTTTTATCTCTGGCACATTCCTCAAAACCTGTGTTCAATTTTAAAAAGTGAATTATTACACATGGAACCATGGGGCGAGGAGGATTTGCTTACACACAACTTTTCCAGAAAGGATTTAAGGGACAATCCATTTTCATTTGAGATAGGCAGTTCCTACCTACTGAAGAACTGTCATTTTTTTTTAATTTGAAGAAACAAAATAAGCAAGATTATTTGTTCCAGAAATAAAAAACTAAAGGGAATTTTTTAATTACAATTAGAGTTTTTATCTCCTAGCTCATTTAAATGTTTATAGGTGTCAACTTCTGTGTTACTAGGAAGCAAGAAAACGTATCTCTGTGGCTTAGGAATCATGTAGATTGGGTGAGAGTACAGACCAGACCCCTACCAACCTGAAGAGCTCAGTAGAGTTTGTGACGTCTACAGGGGAAGCGTCTGCAGGGATAGGTACATGGGGGAGCAGGATCACCTGAGGTGCCCCCTGGCAGATGAGGTCACAGCAGCATACATAGTGGGCTTAGAGTCCTGGGGCCTTTTATAAGCTCCCCAACCCCCATTCCTTGGAAACACGCAAGCCAAACATGCCAATCTGCTCTTTTAACAAACATTTTCCTCCATTTACCCTAGGGAAGATCCTTATCTTTCAAGACTTTCTTCATCTGGGTTCTAATCAGCATATACCAAGGTAAGACAGGACCTGATTTTACTGGATCAAAGAAATATTTTTGGTCTTTTCTTAGCAATAGTGTTTTCACCTCCAGGTTAAATGCCAATCACTTAAAATTTCATTAGCCATTAAATGTTGCCTTCTGTTAATCTTGTAAATCAACATTCCAGCAATGTGGATTGGTATTTTTAAAAAGATGCATGCCAGCTAAAAAACTATTTCTAATTAAATATTAACCTAGAAAATTTTAACAAGCAGTTTTTTCACTGTATCCCTGCACAATCATTTCCTTTAATGGAGTGATACTACCGAGGCTCTGAGAAGTCTGAATTGTGTAACTCAAGTCATTAGTCACTCTGTTGTTCCAGTTTAAGTGAGAGATGCTTACAAGTGTAATTAGCTGCGGAGGACATAGATGCATGAAGGAATCATTATTCACATGAGTTGAAGTGCAGGTGTGGCTTCTACTTGACATTTCTAACTAACCAGGAGAGTGCCATACTTTATTTTATCCATAATCCCAAGTTTGGCTGGATTGTCTGACCACATGGAAGGAATATGGATGTGTACCTGATCCTGTATTTTAGCTATTGTGAAGGAGTTAGCCATGTCCATGATCATTTTCCTGGCCTGCCTGCAGAGTGATCCAGGTTCCAAGCCACACAGAAAAAACAGTCCTTTAAGAGGCCGCTCTGCCACTGTTTTCCAGGAGGCATCCTCATGTACGGAGCCCTGGTGCTCTTTGATTCAGAGTTCGTCCACGTCGTGGCCATCTCCTTCACAGCACTGATCCTGACTGAGCTTCTCATGGTGGCATTGACCATAAGGACATGGCACTGGCTGATGGTCATGGCGGAGTTCCTCAGTCTAGGCTGCTATGTGGCCTCACTTGCTTTTCTAAACGAATATTTTGGTAAGTGGCTTAAAATTATTTTTTTTGAATTATTGTCTATCAGTGGTTAAACATTTGTTATTGTTACTTTGTAAAACATTGTCTGAAATTGTAGATCACAATAAAACCCATACCATAAAGTTTCACAACACAAAAATTTATTTTTGTGGGCAGGTAAAATTCTTTGCATTAATTTATGGTTAAGATTTTCACCATCTGCCTTTAAAAAGACATTAAAGTTGTGTTTTTGTCCAACAACTCTTACCATAAGAGTTGTGTTATTTGCCCTCATTTTCATGACAAAAACCACTACCTACTCTAAGGCAGACACTTGCAAAGAGAAAGCCTTGGTGCTTACAAGCCACACAGTCTACTCCCTCCCTCAGCTGTCTGTACAGGTCACAGAATGCAGCCCAACTAGGTAGCTTTTAGTGGCATCGGATGTTATATCAGTGCACTCCTGTGATAAGAGTCTCAGCTCCCTCTTCTTGACTAGCCCTGGGTTCCAGTTGCCTCCAGTGTTGGCTGTGTTCCTCAAGCCCAGCCCAGCCTACTATAACTTGCCATGGGCCTTGCAACAGTGGTTTGGCCTCCCTGAGCCCTGTTCCTGAAAGTGAGGTTGTACATAAAGAGTGCTGGACAGGTATGAGGTATTCAGTGAGTGATGATTCAAGTGTGAGCTGTATTCTGACATGGATCCTTCTCAGACATTCAGATGTAGACTCAATGAGGCATGTCACCATCATGCCTTTTATCATTGTTCTCTACAGATTAAGAAGGAACAAGTTCGAGGATCTCAGAATGCCATATTTGTCTGTTATCTGTCACTTAGCTTTTCTCCAATAATGAGGCTTCCCTAGAAATGGGCTGGGGACCTCCTGCAACTCGTGGAGCCACTCCTCCTATTCACTCAACCATCAAAATCAACCTAATGTTAGTTTGCTTGTACTAGGTCCCTATCTGTGCATCTACAATCCTCTGTACCCTTCATTCTCATGACTGCACCACCCCCTTGCTGGTCCAGTCCTCCTGGCACACTTTGTCATCAAGTTCTTCTCTTCTTTCCTGAATCTCAGGCCTTTTCTAACCTGACATTGAAAAGGATGAAGCAGTGTCATAGTCAGATCCCTGCATCACCCCCATATTGGTTAATATGGCTAAGAAGACTGAATATGATTCTCAAGATTTTTTAAATGAGGGCAGAGAAAAAAGTAAGACAATGTTCACTCAGAGGAGGATCATTTAGCATAAGGCCTCACTTGGTTCCCAGAACATGATGTAATCTCTGTCTCCTGGGCCAAAACAGAAGGGTTGGGATGATGGTCACTGTATGCATGGTCATAATAGAACATAATCCCAAAGATACCTGAGAGCATCAAGCTGATGCCCTTTCTATATAAGCACTTAGCTGGTGCTCTTTCTGGTTGAGAAAAAGGTTTCAAATTTTCAAAAAGGTGAAAAGTGCATCCTGATGTATTCTCCACATCCATATCAATAGCAGCAAACATTAGCTTAGGTAATTGTTTTGCTGAGTCAGCCACACACTTATCCCTGAACACTGACTTCTAAATGGCCTGTGTGCTGAAGTTTGCAAGTAGATGTGAGCACAGAGCTACTCCAAGCACCAGGAGTTAAACCTGAAGTGAATGAGCCCACTCAGGTTGTACCCTGCCCTTATCAGACCATTCAGTGGGTATGTAGTATAGAGCATATAGGTAGGAAAAATTAAAAGTCTATGTTTTGTATTAAAAGAAACATTCACCAAAAACTGTGGACCTATGGCATGTAAGAAAGGGCCATTCTCAAATTAGAATATCTTAGTTATTTTGTTTGGAGAATAAGCACTTACTATATTTTCCTATGTGATCATGAATAAAGCTCTCAAACATGGGGAAATATTGATTTATTTTTATGACACTTCATTTTAATAGCATGTTTCCCTCATTTGACAATATAAACAAAACACAAAGCAAAATACCAAAATTGGGAAAACAAACCCAATGTAATATAAGCAGATATAAAACCGACTTTATAAACAGGAGGTATAAAAGTGGCAGACAAACCCAGCAATGTGAACTGGGCAGAATTGTTACCTGTCTAAACGTCACTTTTCTCATCCAGGCTGGAAATGGTACCAGCTTCTTCTAAACCCACACCCAGAGATAAGTAGCAGTGTGTCTAAGTATGTATGAGCAGGTCACAGAGCCTATAGTGTCTAAGTGTGGTGAGTACTCGGGTGTGAGCTGTGTTCTGAGATGCACCCTACATTCAGATGTAGACCTAATGAGGCATTTCTGAGTGTTTGCTTTTAAGAAAAGTAATTAATTTTTATTATGTTTAAAAAACTACATTGTAGGGCCAGGATTTAGCTCAGTGGTCCCACTGCCTGCCTTGCAAGCACGAGGACCGGTACCAAAAAAAAAAAAAAGACTGCATTGTAACAGGTAATGAAATGAAGGGGTTAAAACCACAGTCACAAGAGCTTTTCATGCTGATACTTTTATTGCTTTTTAATGTATTTCTTTAATTGGTAGCTAATCAATACAATGTCCTGATATGTCCTTTTGTCTGTCCTTCATTTTCTTGTTCCTGTTTTGTCTTGGAACAGGTATAGGCAGAGTATCTTTTGGAGCTTTCTTAGGTAGGTGAAGTTACCATTTCTTTCCAAGAGTATAGAAAATTTGAAGCCCCTTTTTTTAAAAAAAAAAAAGTAAAGAAAATCAGCAAAACAAAATTGATAAAGATGCTTAACTGATTAAAAAACAAAACAAAAAAAAAAACTTTGTCTATCTTACCTTACCACTTCCTACTGACTTCTTCAACCTCATATAAATCTTGCATGGGCCCGGGATTTAGCTTAATAGTTCCGCCACCTGCCTCACAAGCGCAAGGACCCAAGTTTGATCCCCAGTCCAAAAAAAAAAAAAAAACTTGCATGTAAGTTTCCCTGCCTCGTTCCAGGAGAGCCTCATAGGTATAATGGCTTCTGAGTGGAGGAGAGATGACACTCAGGCTGTTTTCCCCTCCCTAAAACAGTCTTAGTAACAAAGCTCCTAATAAAACTCTTCCAGGGCTTCTTGAAATTCAAGTTAACATTGACCTTTTCCTTATAGTCTTTATGTGCAGAAGATAGTTTTATCCACATACCTTACTTTTTTAAAAGTCTGTGACTCCTAGTAGATAGATTGTTTTTTTTTTAATCCCAGTGCCTGACAACAATCTACAGGAATTTCTGCAATAAGTAGAATTGAACTATGCAAATGTCAGGTTTTTCGAATGCCTCTTCTCATGAGTACTGTAAATAGCCATTGTTTCCAGCACATCTCTGTTAGGGTGCTAATCAGTTTTTTCCATAGTAACTGAAAATGCTCAGGACAGCCACACTGAAGAACAGACACATAAGAGTCTTTATGTCCAAACAGGGAGCTGCCACCTGCCCTCTTAAGGCCTATAAAGTCAGCCATACCTTGAGACTGGCCTGGACAGCCTGGGCAGGGCACAACAGTGTTTTGTAAATCCTGTTTTAAAAGTGCTATCTAGGGCCCAGAGATTTATTTCATAGTTCTGCCACCTGCCTTGCAAGCGCAAGGACCCAAGTTCAATCCCCAGTACCAAAAAAATTAAAAAACATAGAAGTGCTGTCTATTTGTTAATCGGTATATGGAATCACTGGCCATGTGCGTTCTCCAGTACTGTACTCTGGCTCCATTCATTCCATTTGAAGAGAGGCAGTTGTGCCAGGATGCAGGTAAAGCAGCATGACAGTAAAGCCTCCATGAGGCTGAGTTAGACTGCCTGTGCAAGTGCATGGCAGAGCTGCAGTAGACAGCCTGAGGGAGTCCTCAGAGTCCAGTCAGGTCTGTGCCGTGGTCTTGGGGCCTGGGAGCTCCCTGATTGGCTTTCACACTCTTTACCCCCTTCTGACAGATGTTGCCTTCATCACAACTGTGACCTTCTTGTGGAAAGTGTCGGCGATCACTGTGGTCAGCTGCCTTCCTCTCTACATCCTCAAGTACTTGAAGCGCAAGCTTTCTCCTCCCAGCTACTCCAAGCTGACCTCCTGAGGACCAGCACCTACTGCAGGACTGGACTGGTCCCTCTGGCATCTCCAAAGAGCACAGCGTCTGCACCATGTTCCTGAGGGAGGACGTGTGGCTGGGTAGACACCCTCCTATGCTGGACAGCATGGGAGACAGAGAGCTCTGTCAGGGCCGAGGGTCACCTAAACCCAAGCTTTTCTCTCCAGTGTCCATGCTGAAGCAGCATGAGCTCCTACCAAAAAGAAGTCTAATTCCTTCACTTCTGTTGTAAGGGATTTGACATTCTGAGAATTGTTTCTAGCATCCAAATTCTTCCTTTGATGGTATCATAAGAAAGCCATTCCTACTTGAACAATAAAGTCTAGACCCTGGAGATGCCTCATCTTCACATGCCACTGCCCTCATCAGATGATGGCTCCATTTCTACCCTTTGATGCTGCTGCTCTCTTCTTTAGATGCCCATCTTGCTTTTTTGTGAACACTGACACAGTCATGACTTCTCACCTACAGTGTGCTCCTCACATGCAAGCCCAAGTGACCAAATGGTAATATTTCTAGACATAATTCCATTGCAGTTAAAAATGTAAATCATTCCTCAAAGGCATTAATGTTAGGGAATATGATTTTTAAATTTTCATCCTTTTCTCTTTGTATAAATCACACCCAAAAACAGTTTCTCTATGTAGAAATCAGTTGCCTGTGAAACACATCACCGAAGATGCTTCGCTTGCTGTGTTAAGAGATGTCCTTAGTTTGTGTGGTTATCAACATTTACAGCATACCTAGGTGATGTTAGGGTAGAACTGCACTGAGAATATCTGTGAACAGGTCCCTTGGTTGGTCAGGCTGGGAGTCTGAGGGTAGAGCTATTTTCTCCTGCTCACCATGCTGTGGGGTATGGCTCAGCTGAATGTGCCATGAGCCATCCTCAGAACTTCTCAGCAAGCCCTTCAATAAGGAGCTGGTCAAACGCCAGCCTCTGAGTTTAAAGAGAGCCTTTCACATAATCTGAAGCAGGCTGTTACAGGCCTCTTTGCACTAGGTTTGTGTGATCCTGTTCTTGGCTTGATTTCACATTGAATGTGGTCCCCATCACCCCAGAACGCTTGGAGAATGCCAAGCTGTGTGAGTAGTGAGCCAGGGGATTCCCCGACAAACCATGGGTCTGGCATCACTGTCCACCCAGGGTCCCATCAGCTGCTGCCTTTCAGAGGAGAAAGAAATGCCTCAGCTGCAATAAAGCTTCATTTCTTCCCACATAATTTTTGGTGCCTTTTTGACTTGAATGCCTTTAGTAGGTTATCTTTTCAGGCTTGAGGATTCCCAGTTCCCAGACATACAACCAGAGAGCGCTGTTTCTCATATTCTCCACAAGGTGTCAGTATTATTTGTCAGTTAGTCCAGGAACCTTTGGCCATATAGGGTCGCCAGCCTGTCTTCTCTGTGTGCTGAACTAAGAGAAACTAGTGGTCACTAACTGACTTCATGGATTTGGATTTCACAGTGTCCTCATCCCTTATTTTGGCATAGTTTGAATTAAGGGCATGGGATTCACAGAATTGCCAGCCGTTCACAAGATGTGGCTACATCATTCACTCAGGGCTCCAGAGTGCAGAATACCAACTGTATATCAGACACTCACCACTGTGCTTTTTAAAAATAAAACAGCCAATAGGAAGTTGACCCAGCAATGGAGGGGGTGAGGCATGAAGATCACTACAAGTTCAAGGCAAACCTAGCTATATAGTGAGTTCAGGACTGTCCTCACACGCACACACACACACACACAAACCCTATCAAAAAAAAACTTTGACATGACCATAATAAGTTGCAGACAGTCTCAGGAAAACTACCACTAACCAGGACTTGAAAATATAGAAGCTTTCATGAGTCTTAGATTAGTTGGATACAAATTAGGAGAAAGTCAAATATCAGTCTCCAGACGTTAAGATGTGCGAAGTCCGAGAGACTGCAGGAAGCCACCATTGTGCTCAATCTGTGAAGCAAAAATAATCTCCACTTCAGGATTCCACTGTCCAGGTCAAATGAGGAGGCAATGGATGGGAAGGAGGCTCCAGATAGATGCTTGGCACACAGCGATTGACTCAGAAGACACTGTAATGTTTTTTTGCTAGATTGAAGGAAATAACTGAATAAAGGATCACTGAATCCAGGGAAGCCCAGGTTTATGAACAAGCTCAAAAGAAGGGAATAATGCCCTGGAATTGGACAAGGAGAACCTCCACATAGGGCAGTCATGCATTCTCCCTGGCTTCAGGGCAACCTCACTCTGTTAGTACTTCCAAGCTATAGAGCTCTGTCAGCTCAAAAATTCTGACTGTTGGTCTGTCTGTGTTCTCTACCCAACCACCACTGGGCTTCAGGAGGACTGCTTCTCAGCACCAATGTCCAGGAAGAGCATTTGGACCATCCAGGTTTCAACTTTGACCTTTCCTATTCATTAGAAGCTCTGTGAGAGAGGAGACCACTCTTATTCAGCACTTTCGTCACAGGTGTCGAGTGCATATAGGGACGTCACAGACACAGCCTTGAAAACAAGCTGTGTGACATGGAGATGAGTGCATGGGGAGCTGGCAGAATCAACAACCCAGGGTAGACTCCTCCGAGAGGTATGGTGGAAGTTGATGGGAGAAAAGTACCATCATCGTGCAGAGGTGAGAATGCAGGTGGGGATCTGGTGGGGGCAGAGTACCATGTGATGAGGCAGAATCAGCAACTAGGTGATACAGGTGAGAGAGGCAGGTAGGTCAGTGGGCGGATGGACAGATGTGTAGATGCTAGATAGGTGTGTGGATGGGTGGCCAGATAGGTAGATGACTTTCTCATGACTTTTCTCAACTCATGCTATCCCAAGGTAGTGACCATCATGCCTTTTCTTGCAATATTTATGAATCAGGGAGGTCACACTTCCTATACCCCTGTGAAGCCAGAACAGATTGCACAAGTGGCTGTTGGCCCTTCCTGTACTTGTTAGAACCCAGCAAGGAAGCCATAGTAGAGAACGCCCTTCTGGGACAGTAATAGGCAGATCTAGGCCCCCTCCAGCCTGTTGTTTCACCTCTGAGGCTCAGGGAACTGTGTCCACATTGTCGTCTGTGGGAAATAGAAGATCATTTCTATAAGTCCACTAGATGTCCGGCCAGAGGCAGAATGTCAGCCTGGATAAAAATGAACTAACCACATGTTGTCACAGGGCTGATAGCAAGAAGATGGGGCAGGTACTGTGTGCAAACAAGCATCAGAAAGCCAGGTGGCCATGTCATCATTCAGAATAGACTTCACACCGTGTCACTGAAGACAGGAACATTTGACAATAATTAAAAGTGGGAAGAAGGTGAAATAAAGGGTGAATGCATCAGAACTAATCTGGACTTACAGGCCAGTCACTGTCCACAGCATGGTTGTTGTGTTTAACACACCTCTGCAGTAACCAGTATTACCAACTGCATGGAAACCCAGAGGACACAGAAGTCAGGGTGATGCCTGACATTACAGAGCTCTGCAGCCGGCCAGTATGGAGGAACCTTCCTGAGGTCAGCCACATGCTGGGTCAGCAAGACCCCAGGAAAGCACAAATCACTGGAATCAAACATGGAGATCATATGGCTTACAGAAAAATCGACTAGAGAAATTCTGAACTATTTTCAGCTATAACTATATCAGAATTTGAAAGGTACAGTTAAAGCAATTCTTGAGGGAAATTTACACATTTAAATACAGGAAGGTATAAAATCTCTAAATTTCCACTATGGGCAAAGTAAGCAACCAAAAGGCAGGAAGCAAAAATAAAAGTGGATGTCAACAAAATAAAAAACATTAATAATAGAAAGCAACAAATCCAAAAGCCGGCTCCTTGACAGGATCATCAAAATTGAGTTTAAAAAAATGAAGCTATAGTGATGACAGAAACCATGGTAAATTACTACACTATTTGGTTCCACTGATAGGACATGAGGTGCAATCATTGATCACCAGGATCAGTGTGACTGCTAGCTTTCCATCGCTGTGATCAAATGCCTGAGAAAATAAAAGGGGAAACTGATGTTTGCTTCATGGTTTCAGGGGTTTCATTCCGTGGTCATCGGCTCCACAGTTTCTGGGCTCATGATGGCGAGGCAGACGTGATGGTGAGTGCACTGGTACAGAGCTGCTTGTCTCAGGCCAGCCAGGAAGCACTAGTACCATTACCACCTCCTGACAATGCCAAGACTTCCATACATCTGCCTTTGAGGGATATGATAGGGTCTTGGAGACCTACAGAGTCAGGTGGCTGCAAGGGGCGGTACAAGGGAGCTGTGCAACAGACCTTTGGTGTCTGTGTCAGTGGTGTCCACACCATAGCCTGGGAGGTCTGGACAGCTCCATGGGCACCAGTGTCCACTACTGGTCAAGACCTCTCATGCAGTAGAAGTGGGACAGGGGACCTTACCTGTTTTTTTCAACTTGGTGTGAATCTATGTGCAAAATAAAGTTTTTAAAATGTATCAAGAACATTATTAGCTGAGGACTGGGATAGTGAAAGGTTTAGAAGATTAATAGATGGATATCGCTTCCACTGGGTGGGCATGTGAGACATGCTGAGACCTGGGCTACAACTGCTCAAACCACTCATTCTGGAAGGAACACTGCCCAGCAATAGTCTCCTTACCCTGAGGGCTAGTCTGCCTGGGGGAGGTCTGTGAGCAGTCTTCTTACTCTTGGCTTGAAGCTGCTGTGTTGCTGGGTGGTACCATGTGCCTGTGGTGGTTGCCATTATGTAGTGGGCAGGCCCTGCCATTCCAGGGATCCAGAATTCCCTGTGTCCTGGAATCACCTCCCAATGCCTCAGCCCTCCTTGTGGCTGAGGACGAAGGGTCTCTCCAGGGTCCCCAAGAGTGAGAGAGATGCCAGGGAGGGGAAGCTGCCCTAGCAGTGGAAGCTGCAGACCCCTCACTTCTTCCTTGTCACTTCTCTCTTGGGGCCCCAGGGGTCACTGTTCACACACCCAGACAGCTGGGCTTTGCTGACACCAGCTGGTTTCTCATAGCAACCCCTCCCCTGGGGTCAGTGAAGTCAGCTAGCTGCCTTCAGGGGGATAGGATCACTTAAGGGCTGCTGCACCGCAGACTGCCCTCTCTTCTTGAGTTGGGTTCTTTGGGGGTGCCTGTGCTCAGAACTGGTAGGAAGATGTGCAGGATGCTGGCAGTGCCCATGCAGCCCTTGAGAGGACAGCAGCACCCAGATCACAGAAGTGGGTCCTGGTCCTCTCGTATTCCCACAACCCCTGTGTCCCACCTACTAGCTCAGCAGTTGCTACAGACTTGGGGGATAGAACTAGGTGTGGGGACAAAGAGGACACAGTAAGGAAGATGGGGAGTCTGCTACTGGAGTTGCCTGTCAGGCTCAGCAGAAGTCAGTGTTTAGTGTGCTTGGGGGTGCACTAAGGGAACTCTTAATGCCCAAGCAGTGTTGGACTGGCTCGCTCTTGCCTTCCCAGAGGCCCCTGCATCTGCCATCTGCTCCTCACAGTCACTGTGGTTTTGCAGCCCTGGAATACAAACCTGGGGTCTCTGTGGAGGGGCAGGGACTGCCAACTATGCCCACTTGGCCTGCTGCCACTACCCAGCTGAGCCCTGTGGCCTGTCACTCACCAGGAAAGCATCTCCTCTATCCCTGAGCTTCCAGTTTTCAAGGAACTTTGAACACATTGGTGGGCATGGAAAGTATGAGTGCCAGACCAGCCACCACATGTTTTCTTGGGGCTGTGCTGATAAGGGAAAGGTGGGTGTCCCTGCTGCTTCCTGTATTTCTGTCCCTGGCTCTCCCTTCTTCTGTCCCATGACATCCTCCTGACTCCCATTTTTGGAGACCACTCAAGCCTGGCCCCTGCTCAGATATATCTGCCCCGTACCCTTGATGTCCGTGGCATTGGGACCAGCCTTAGTGACCTCTGTACTTCTCTACAAGGACACTGTTGTACTGTGGAGATGGTCAGAGAGCACTGCATCAGTACCAGTGGGGGAGGGGGAGTAGAGAAACTGAGGCACTGAGAAGTTTAAAATTTCCCCAGAGCAGATAGCTGACCCAGAGCCCAGGATGCTCTCTGCATATAGCCTTTTGGACACGGCCATGTCCAGCGGCCTGTTTCCCAAGTCAAAACGTCAAGTTCATGCAGGTCCTCTGAAACCCTGTGCCTGTGTCTCAGGACCACTTGGAAGAGACCTGAGACAAGAGGATGGGCTGACATCACCAGCTCCACCTGGTGTCCACAGAGATGCCCCACAGGTGAGGCTTCAGGGGGCAAGCATCTAAGTCCTGCCAGTGGGACTTGGCCAGCCACCCATGTGCCCCAAGCTGTGCCAGCCCCTGCAGGAAGAGAGGGATGGCCTCTCTACCCCTCCAAGCAGGGACTGGCCTGTGAATCCCTTTAGGAAAACTGCTCATCTCAAAGCTCACAATGGCAAAGCCCCACACCTTCCCCCAGCTGCCCACCACAGCCAAAGACTTCCTGCCTTAGGCCCCTCCTCCAAGAGGTGTCCCATACCCCTCTGCCTGTCCCGCTGGTCAGTGGTCTGGAAGGGTTGGCCCCTCAAGGAGTGTCCAGTGGTTTGGGTCAGGATAGATCCAGCTTTGGCTTCTGATGACGCACAAGACGCTTACTTGTGGCCCTGCCAAGTGTTCTCTATCACCCATAAATATCAGGGCTTCCTCGCTGTGCACACTCCCTGTTTCCCACCCACTCTGCCCAATTCTGGTGCCCACAATATCCCTGGAGTTCTCTGTGATCCACATTGATGCCGCTAACAGATGTCATTCCAGAAAGTTCCAGGAGGGGGGGATAGAAGCCAAGAAACGGTACCTGCCACTCAGAAAGGTCCTGGCTCTAGCCAGGTTAGTGACGCTGGATGGGTGACAAGGGCTCTAGAGAAAATAATGTCTTGCTCAACTCGGACAACTAGAATCTGGGGAGCAGATTCTGACTGAAGAACTGCCCACTGTCCACAGGCACTATGGACACATGGTGTTCTTCTTTGCCAGAATAGGAAGCCTGTTGCCCCTCTTCTACAGAGCCACTAAGACGCAGACCCAGTCTGGGCCAGGAGAGCTCAATGGGCTACACCCTGGAATCGTGAGCCAAGTGCCTGCGGTGGGGACTGCACTGAGCTCAGCTTAGCCAGAGGTCCTCTGTGTCTCTGGGACAGGGGCCTTGGAGACATGGCAGAGGCCAAGGACTGAGGTCTGCATATCCATTTTGATGAATCCTGAATGCAGTAGGTACTAATAACAACTTACCAAAAGACCCAGAAGGAAACTTAGAAATCGTTCAGTGATTATGTTGTTTTTTGGAGGGTGGGGAGCTATTTTTCTCCCCTTTGGAGACAGGGTCTCACTAATATACTCCAAAGCCGGCTTTGATCTCACTGTATATCCCAGGCTATCACCAAGTGTCAGGATTATAGGTGTGCGCACTGGATCTGGCTTCCTCCAGCATTTTTTCTTTCTGTTTTTGGTACCTGGGATCAAACTCAGGCCCTTACACTTGCAGGGCAGGCGGCAGAACCACTGAGCCAAATCCCCAGCATCCTCCAGCATCTTGACTGTTCTGGAGCCTTCTACTGCCTCACCCTGGACCAGAACATACAGGAAACCACTTTCGTTCACTGCTTGCTCTGTCCACACAGGCCCTGGGGCAAGAACAGTTGTCCTAAGGTAGTAAGCACTGTGACTGTGACCTACATGCACAAAGACCTGTCCTCATGCCAATCAAGAAAACCAAATTCTGCATCAGGCATCCTATGTACTTCTAAACTCTATGCCCAGAAAGGGAACGTACTCAGATTCTCACACAAGAGCAGAGCATCTTGAGTGCTTGTTCCTCTCTTGCTATTGAAGAGAGTGAGTAGATTTTATCTAGATATTTAAAATGTTGGCTCTCAATGTGTTTGAGCCTTGGGAAACCCTGGAGCATGAACTACACGAAGGGCCCAGCAGACTACTGTCAGTATCTTCCAAGGACAGCAGTTTGTTTTGGGAGACACAGGCTACAAACATTGCTCAAGGAGCCTGGGGAAGCCTGTCCTTACAGTGCAAACGTGTGCTCTCATCCCCAGGCTGCCTCACACCAGAGGCAGCACTGTCAGGCACACGGGGTCACCTCACTCCATCCTGCAGTCACCCATGGCCCTTCTGTAGAGCCATCTAGCTGGGCAAGAATGGGAGCCTCAGGCTCACTCAGGAGTCCCTACTGATGTGACATCCTCTCCAGCCTGGAAGTGAGGGGAAAAAAGTGCTGTGCTTAGCCCTGCCTCTCCCCTCCATAGCAGCCCAGCTCAGGCCTCTTCATGTAGGTCAGGTTCTGCACAGATTAACTGGGGCCATAAGGACATGGACCATTTCTTTCCAATTATGCATCTGACTCCAACACCCCTTAGAGGTGCCTTTAATTGTCAGTATTTCTCTTTCTCTCTCAAGAGTTCATTTGTAATCCCCCAAAGTTGTGAGCTTATCATTATGCTGCCTGTAGGAGCTGGGCAGAAGCACCACTAGTTGCTCTAACTACAGCAGTTGTTGATCTGTTCATGTCATGTACACAGCACAGTTTCCGGGATGCACTCATGACACAGTCATGGAGCATCTGCCAGACTCCGCGGGGCTCTAATGAGAGGCCCCACCCATGGACAGGTGCAGAGCTGCTGGGCGTCCATCGCCGGCCATCATCCCACCATGGATGACTTTGACTCCATGACCCCGGGGGTCTGTAGATGCGATGGCAAGCACGTGACAGGCCTGTGAGCCAATGCTCCTACCCCACCCCCAGCTGCCCTGTGTCCTGAGCCAGTGGGGCTTCTCAGGTGAGGGCTCCTCGGGTGGAGTGGGCGGGTGGGGTTCTCCAGGAGAAGTGAGCCTGTCTGCAATTGGAAACAGCGTTGAGGACAGAGAAGGCAGTGCACTGCAAGGGGTGCCTTCATGGGGGTCTCTGGCCTCTCCAAATCTGTCCCCTGCCATCGGGAACTTCCCGGTGAGGCTGGAGATTCTTGCTGTGCTCATTTCAGCTCTCTCCCTCGCCTGGGGATGGGGCTCCCCCCTTGACCTCCTTGGGCCCCCTCCACAATATCTGACAAAATGAAAAGGGACGTAGAGGCAGCAGGAGGACAGCAGAAGGGGCTGAGTGAAAAGCGGGGCTCTTGGGCTTCCGCCGTCTTCTCTTGGGACTTTCAGCTCTCAGGGACTTTAAGGCCAAGGAGCCGAAACAGGCCTGCGGGGATGGATGACGCGTCAGAGGCAAACTGGAGAGGGAAGGAAGAGCACGCCAAGGAAAAGGGAGAGCACAGCT